TTAAACATGTACAATTATTAATGTCCAATTAAACATAACACTGATATCTCAGGCACGTTAGATTTACAAAAGAGATATGTATCTTAACATGATAGCAGAATATTTACATAACAAAATACACTGGAATGATGTAAAGAAAATCCTGGAGAATATTTTCTCAAACAGATTTTAAAATCTAGAACTGGATGTAGCTCTAAATATACAAACAATAATCCACATCAGACAAAATGTTACACCGATAACTCAGGCCTATACCCTTACCAGACAAAGTAAGTTTTCAACTAACCTATTGAATTATATGAAGTTTGTTGACATGATAACTAGAGCAATTTGACTCTTAACATCTGGGTCATTTCTGGTAACAAATTCAAAAGTTAATTTAGATTCTACTTAATTATATTTTATTGAACATGTGCAATGGCATTGACAAATATAGTGATGTTTCGATAGGATAATTTGAAATATTACATACTTAAACCAGGGAGGGGATACACAGGCATAATACACAGGCATAATGCATGATCATAGCCGAGTAAAAAATTAACCCCTGTTCAGATCTTTTTCAAAAACGTTTTCCACACAACATGACCCTCTCTGCATAAAACAAGTACACAATGGGATCTCGATGCAACTCTGTTTGGGCTTAATAAGTACACATTTACAAAATGTATCTCTTTCTACATACTGTACTCCTTTCACAGGTTTTCGAACATTGTGACAATATTATGATGTCTTTCTTAGTTTCTTGTAAAATGTATACACTAACACCAGATAGTGGACTGTACTCATCAATATGAAAAAGAAGAAAACCGCCTTTTTACAAAGATTTAAACATTTACAAACATCGCTGAAAATTACCCCCTTTTACCCCAGATTCTTGCTATCGGTCCAGGGCTTGAAACCAGCAGGTGGACACCTAAATCTAGGTCCGGACCCCCAGAATTTGGAAGCTTTTACTCAGGGCTCATGCATACAGAGTGTAGAAAGTTAAATCTAAACCTCTTTCCCCCCAAAAAAGAAAGTTAGTGCAGGATGCCCTGTATCATACATACAAAAAGTCAAGATGAAGTGTTACCAGTAAGAGACTGTCTTACTCTACCGATACCATAGCAACTAGACTTCATACTTTGTTTTCTTCTCTGGAATTTCAGGATCATCCTGTGGAACGCTCGACTCAGTACAATGAGGTTGCCTCTTGCAAGGCCTGATCCAACTGCTGCTACCTTCTGAGTTGCCAGAGTTGGCCAAGACATTCAAGTCATTTGAGCTGCCCAAGTCAGCCGAGTTGTCCGAGTCATTTGAGCTACCCAAGTCAGCTAAGTTGGCTGGGTCATTTGAGCTACCCAAGTCAGCTGAGTTGTCTGGGTCATTTGAGCTACCCAAGTCAGCTAAGTTGGCTGGGTCATTTGAGCTACCCAAGTCAGCTGAGTTGTCCGAGTCATTTGAGCTGCCTGAGTCTTTTGAGCTGCCTAAGTCGGCTGAGCCTTACAAGTACCATGACCTTGGTTAGTACCGGTTGGCCAATCTGTAAAGGAAACAGATTCGTTTCTTATTATCTCAATGAAAGATGAGAAATAAAACATCAACTACCATTGGTATTTAATACTGAAAGTACCTGTCTCAAGAAACATTTTGATCAGTGAATGAAGAAAAAGAACAAAATAGAAGAGACTACAGTGTAACAAACATATCAAGAACACACAATCAAAAATAAAGTACAGACACTTAAAAAAAATGGAAAAAATCTACAAATTTAAGGTTGAAAGCACTTACGTACAGTACGGAATTAGTTCAATAAAGCTGTTAGCGTTACTGAATATTTAATTTTGTCAAGCAAGAATCTTAAATTGTTTAAGGTACACATGCAGTACCACTTTATCACATGCTCCCCTGCTGGGGTCTTTATCATTTCTTAGTATTATATTAGAGGCTTTTTTATTGTTCCTGTATCGCACTACTCTTGAAAAGACTACCGGTATATGCTGTTATCTGAATTTTTATTTTCTAATCACTTATAGGCCTACTGTACTAACCTTTGCAAACATGGGATGGTGTTGAGAAATGAGTTTAAGTCATTTTGAGCAACTCCATTGATCCTGAAGTTTCCCTTCCTGATCTGAGGAAAGCAACCCTGTAACATATAAAAGCAACATTGCTTGTAAACCTTGTATCAGTTACAAGTAAGTGGATCTATTTCATTCTGGCATATAATCTATTTTGGGGGGAATATACACCCAAGAGCTACAGTAACATCCCATTAACTAAAGGAGTTTCGAGAATTAAAAAAAAAGCTAGAATAAGAGAAATTTCGCACAAGAGATTTTCAACATTTCAAAATAAATGGATCCATGAAAACCTGTAATATTAATAATAGTGGTAGTTTTACTGTAGTAGTACTGGTAGTAGTATCCACTATCACTTTCTATAAGCAGTAGTAATTGAAATATGGTATCGACATCAGATTAAAAGAAACCAACAAAAAAACTACCTACTAGAAAAATCTTTATACTTTCTCATACTATTAGAGGATCAGAGAACAACAACAGAGAACAGGAGAGCATTACTTTTATAATTCAACTCTAAAAGGGATTGGGTGGTTGGAAGCTGCCTTCTTTCCTGTTAGCAATATGTTTGAGCATAATATATTTCCAAGATTTGTCCTGACTTAATAGCCTAGAGCATCTTTGATACTAAATTTATAGAATTTAAACATTGATTACTGTGCAGTGTCAAGAATGATTGCTCTGTAGGGCCATGCATTATGGTTCAAGGCATGCCCACATAGAAGATTTGTTATGTTGGGGGTCGGGGCAAAATGCAATGAATTATTGCAAATTTATTGCACTATCTTTGTTTTTTTGTTTTTGCGGGGGCGTCGACGTACCCTAGCGCCCGATGCATACAGTCATGATTCATTGACTAAGCAATACATTTTTGGAATCCTTATGACCAGATGAGTAATTTGATATGTGATTTAATAAGGTTCACTGTGTTGGTGAATTTGACCACCTGTCAAAAGTGTGTTGACCTTTCAACGTTTTTGACCATAGCACCCTCATTTAAGGTCGAAGGTATAGCAAACTATACATTTTTGGAATCCTCATGACCAGACGAGTAATTTGATATGCATATTGACACGATTGGAACTATTTGAATTTTTATCCCTGTGTGACCTTTGTTGACCCCTCACGAAAATGCCCGGGATTTTCAAGGGGGCAGCCCAAGTCAAAATTGTTCGGTATTCATCAGGGAACACAAAAACACTTTCAAACCTTTGTTCTCAGAGATTGGTCACGGGACCTACAGGCTGGTCTCCTACTAATACCCATACATATACATTTGCTATTAATGTATTAAAGGTATTCAGAACCCTGGGTTCCATGTGCACAAGTCCCCTAATTCAGGAGGTTTGTTGCTATGGTCCAGTTTGTTAGATTCCAGCCTTTATCAAAATTGGCTCTTAAAATACTTTATGACATATTTTCTCCTATCAGTCAAACTTGGAAAAGGCTGGATATTGATTATTGATTTAAACTAGATGGACCTTTGACCACGTGCAGTCGAAAATGATGCCTGCGCCATGGAGCAATTTTGCAAACCAAAACAGAAATGAGCTAATTTTGCATACATAATGAGCCATGTTACCTTTGACATTTGACCTCGTGACCCCAAAATCTAATCAGTTCATTGGCTTTGCAAGATAAATACATAACCCAATTTTGGCGGGAATCCATCAATGGATTCTTGAGATAACGCGATCAGGAGCTATTTTTGAATACATAAGCCCTGTGACCTTTGACCTTGGATCTCATGGCCCTAAAATCTAATCAGATTTAGTAAGTTTGCGCAAGTGAAATCTGGCAGTCTTGTAAAGATTGTCTGATGTTCAGTCATGCGTGAAAGGATTCAAATGAAAATGGTACCTAAATGTACTGGGAGGTTAACTCTATCAAGACATATCATTAAATCCCTAATTAAATTAATTCATACTTCAAACAATACAACTTTTAAAAAGTGGGACATTCTTTCTGACTCACCCTGTATATCCCCTCCAACTTCGTCGGCTAGGGGATAACAATCAAGTTATTTGGCATGAAAAGAAAATTCTGCTCTTTCTATCAATGACCCTCTCCAAAAAATTTACATTACGACACACATACCTGTATGGATGATGCCTTTGCTTTCAATGTAGAGTAGAACTCCTCCTTTGACTTTATTCCATACAGTGTCAGGTCAGTCAGGTTTGGCATAGAACACAGTGCTTCTGCAAGGTGATGTGATGAGGCTGGTGTGGGACACTGGATAACCTTAAGCTCGACAGTCCGTAACTGCATTATTTGTGAATATAGTTTAGCAGTTTCACTATACATGCATATACTTCATTAAATATTTTCTCATCATCTTCTTACTTTTAACAGAAATTCTATTTATTACATTGTTATTTATAATAACATTCACAACAAAATTGAATAGGTTTTATTTTCAAATTCAAATTTGTCTAATAAAAAAAAGAACACATACAAATTTGTTTGGAGAGGGTAATTAGTAAAAGTGGTTTTTAAAATAATACTATATGTATTCTTTATAGGGCTTCCAACGGGTTCGCATTGATAAGTCCTCCTCCTAAAATCACTGATATTGATAACACCCAGAGATATGCATTTGCTATTAATGTATTAAAGGTATTCAGAACTCTGGATTTCATGTGCACAAGATTCCTAAGTAAAGAGGTTTGCTGATATGGTTCAGTTTTGTTAATTCAAGCCTTCATCAAAATTGGCTCTTAAAATACTTAGTGAAAAAATTTTCCTATCAGCTAAACTTTAAAAGGTTGGACATTAATTATTGATTAAGACAATATTATTCTCCTAAACACTTAAAATTCAACTGAATCACCACATGCATAGCTTTGAATTCAGTTCAATTCATTTTATTTGGCATGAAAAGAAAATTCTGCTCTTTCTTTCTATCAATGAACTTCTCCATTAGGACACACATACCTGTATGGATGATGCTTTTGCTTTCAATGTGGAGTAGAACTCCTCCTTTGGCTCTATTCCATACAGTGTCAGGTCAGTCAGGTTTGGCATAGAGCACAGTGCTTCTGCAAGGTGATGTGATGAGGCTGGTGTGGGACACTGGAGAAGTTCAAGGTTGAGAGTCTGGACCTGCATTGTTTGTGAATATAGTTAAGCAGTTCCACTATACATGCATATACTTCATTAAATATTTTCTCATCATCTTCTTACTTTTAACAGAAATTCTATTTATTACATTGTTATTTATAATAACATTCACAACAAAATTGAATAGGTTTTATTTTCAAATTCAGATTTGTCTAATAAAAAAAAGAACACATACAAATTTGTTTGGAGAGGGTAATTAGTAAAAGTGGTTTTTAAAATAATACTATATGTATTCTTTATAGGGCTTCCAAACGGTTTGCTTTGATAAGTTCTCATCCTAATAACACTGAAAATTAATAATACCCAGAAATATGCATTTGCTATTAATGTATTAAAGGTATTCTTTACTCTTGATATCATGTGCACAAGAATCCTAAGTCAGGAGGTTTGCTGATATGGTTCAGTTTTGTAAATTCAAGCCTTTATCAAAATTTTCTCTTAAAATAATTAATGAAATATTTTTTCCTATCAGCCAAACTTTTAAAAGGTTGGATATTAACTATTGATTAAGACAATATTAATCTCCTACACACTTAAAATTTAACTGAATCTCCACATGCATAGTTTTGAATTCAATTGAATGAAATTTATTTGGCGTGAAATGAAAATTCTGCTCTTTCTTTCTATCAATGAACTTCTCCATTAAGACACACATACCTGTATGGATGATGCTTTTGCTTTCAATGTGGAGTAGAACTCCTCCTTTAGCTCTATTCCATGCAGTGTCAGGTCAGTCAGGTTTGGCATAGAACACAGTGCTTCTGCAAGGTGATGTGATGAGGCTTGTGTGGGACGCCGGATATAATGAAGGTCGAGAGTCTGGACCTGCATTGTTTGTCAATATAGTTCATAATTTTACCTGAAGATGTTTTTTTAATTGGATGAGAGATTTGTCATTTGAAATATTTTTTATTCAGGAAACCCATAGTACAAGAGTATCTCAACAGATGTGGTCTAATGAGTTGGGATATAAGATTTACTTTTGTCATGGAAAGTCTAACAGCGCGAGAGCATGTATTTTGTTTAACCCTAGCTGTGGTATCACAGTTTATTCTGTGCATACAGATGAAGACGGTCACATTTTGGTATTAATTGTTTCCTATGAAATTATGAAGTTTACTATTGCGAATATATACGGTCCGAATAAAGATGGAAGTAAACTTTTTGAAGGTTTGCATGCACTTTAAATCAGTTTGGTGAAGAACCATATATTCTTGGAGGTGAAATGATCACTGTCCAAGATCCTCACGTGGACCGCTGTCGCAACAACCATCAGTATCATCCCAATTGTTTCACACGTATAGAAACCTTGAAAGAGGATTTTGATTTAGTAGATATCTGGCGTTTTATGAATCAATGTAAACTCGATACACTTGGCGTTCAAATACTTCCCAAAGTAGAATAGATTATTTTCTGATTTCAAATACTTTTAAGAATTCTATTATTCATACAGATATACATTATGGTTACAGAAGTGACCATTATGCAATTAGTTTATCAATTGAACAATCAGTCCCCAGAAGGGGTCCAGGATTCTGGAAGCTAAATACTTCTTTATTATTGTCACTGCCTAATAGGAGTGAGATACACAAAATTATACGCTCTGTTATTAAGGAAATATAAATATGGAAGTGAATAAATTATGGGAATATCTGAAGTTAAAAATTAGAAGAAAAATGTATTTCATTGTCCTCTTCACAAAAAGGAAAGGAAACTTAGAGTAGATGTTTTGTTAAAAGATATTGAGAAGCTCCAAGAAGTTTTGGTAGAAAATCAAGATGATGACATGTTGAAAGAAAATTTGATTTGTAAAGAGGCAGAGTTACAAAAGATACATGAAGAACATGTTCCCGGAATAATGGTCCGTACAAGAGCAACTTGGATATCAGAGGGAGAAAAGAATTCACGTTATTTTCTGAACTTAGAAAAGAGGAATTTTGATAAGAAACATGTACAACAGTTGGTAAAAGGTGATGTTACTATAACGGAGCCATCTGATATATTGACTGAAGAAAAACAATTTTATGAAAACTTGTATACTTGTATATTGATTATGTTATTATCGAGAGCACATTGACAAATCTGAATATACCTTGTATCAATAATGATTTAGCTATGCTTTGTGAAGGATCTGTATTAGAAAAAGAGTGTTACGATGCAATGATATCAATGTCTTGTGATAAAACAACAGGCTCTGATGGCTTACCTGTTAATGTTTATAAGATATTTTGGGAAGATATAAAAACATTGCTTTGTGAAGTTTTTTAATATTCGCTATGAAACTGGAGAACTGTGTCCTTCAATGAAACAGGGATAATAACTTTGTTACCCCCAAAAAATAAAGATATCCGCCATCTGAAGAACTGGCGTCCAATATCACTTTTAAATACAGATTAGAAGATTTTAGCGAAGATTTTAGTAACCAGACTTCAACAGGTTTTCCCTTTTATTATTCATGAGGACCAGACTGGATTTCTTAAGGTAGATATATAGGTGACAATATTCGGTTGTTTATAGACTCAATTGATTTTGGCAAAAAATATTCAATATGGGGTATAGTTTTCTCGATTGATTTTGAGAAAACTTTTGATTCGATAGAATGGAATTTTTTAGATATATGTTTCACCAAATTTGGATTTGGATGTATTTTCAAATCCATGATTAAAATGATGTATAACGATATTGAAAGTTGTGTCATAAACAATGGATACTCATCATCAGTTTTTACTTTACAAAGGGGGGGGGGGGTAGACAAGGATGTCCTCTTTCTCCCTACTTGTTTTTAATCGGAGCTGAAATTCTAGGTATCATGTTTAGAGAGAGTACTCAGATAGAGGGTATTAAATTTAAAGGCAATGAAATGAGGATAAGTCAATACGCAGATGATACCCTTTATATTTTATCGGTGTACTCAAATATTTCTGGTTTGAAAATCAATGTTAATATGAGTAAAATTGTGAGATTGGGAAATTTTACAGGTATGTTATGTAATCATTTCATTCTTTCAGGCCTCGAATTACATCAAATTTGGGTCAAGGCCACTTTTTTGAGAGGGCACAAATCCACTGAAAGGGGCACAAATCTATCCTAAGGGGCACTAAGGCCAACGTGGAAAGTGCGCGTAAAATCACCTCACGCCGTTGTTTTCAAGGTGGGGGGGGGGGGGATATGTGCACCCAGGGGCGGATCCAGGATTTCTCCCTTGGGGGGGGGGGGGGCCCACTTTTTGTTTTTGTCCCAAAAAAAAAATCGCAACGACTCAGCCAGCCGCTGAATAAGCGGGGGGGGGGGGGGGGGGTAAGAGGACACTTTTTTTTGTTTTTTGGTCTTGAAATTTGAAAATTTGACATTTTGTTCCCTTTGGGGTGGGGGGGAGGGGTGAGGTCACCTTTTTTAGATTAGCCATTGGCATATTTTTTTGAGTGTGTGTGTTTCATTTAAAAAAAAAAGGGGGGGGGTTTGCTCCAAAATACAGACATAAAAAAAACCGAAGGGGGGTTTAACGCCCCAAACCCCCCCCCCCCTGCGTACGTGCCTGCTCGTCTGAATACAGTTCCCCTCCCTCCGCGCAAAGCGCGGAAGCTTTTACGTTTCATTAAATCATTAGAGAAAGAAGAGGATTCGTTGTACCGTTTTTTACTCTTAATCCTCGTCTAAATTCAACCCCCCCCCTCCCCCGCAAAGCTCGGAAGCTTTTACGTTTCATTTAATCATTAGAGAAAGAATACGATTCGTTGTCCCGTTTTTTACTCTTAATCCTCGTCTAAATTCATCCCCCCCCCCTCCCCCGCAAAGCTCGGAAGCTTTTACGTTTCATTAAATCATTAGAGAAAGAAGACGATTCGTTGTCCCGTTCTCGACTCTTAATCCTCGTCTGAATTCAGTTCCCCCCCCCCCCATCCGCACTTGCAAAGCGCGAAAGCTTTTACGTTTTATTAAATCATTAGAGAAAGAAGACAATTCGTTGTATCGTTCTCGACTCTTAATCCTTGTCTAAATTCAGTTACCCCACCTCCTGCGCGATCGAAGCGCGGAAGCTTTGACATTTAATTTAATTATTAGAGAAACAAGACGATTCGTTGTACCGTTCTCGAAAATAATCCTCGCCTGCATGAATACAGTTTTCCCCTTCCCGCGCAAAGCGTGGAAGCTTTTATGTTTCATTAAATCGTTAGAGAAAGAAGACGATTAATTGTATCGTTCTCGACTCTTAATCCTTGTCTGAATTTCAAAAATGTTTTTTGTCTGCTCCTTTTTCTTCATACGTCCTCTTCCTTTTCTCTCCTCTCTTTTTTTGGCTTTTTTTTCGGGGGGCGCCCCCACTGCCCCCCCCCCCCCCCCCCCCCGGCTACGTGCCGTTGAAGGCAAATTATGGTCAGATAAGCATTCAGGGGCCCGCCTCAGGGCCCCTAGTTGAGTCGAGGGTGCGGAAACCCCTGAATTTCAGGGGTTTCAGGCATTTGTGACACTGGCAGGATACTGATTGGCGTGAGGTCCAGCGGGCGGAGCCCCCAGTAGCCCATGGGTTTAAAGCATTACTTTACCGTCAGATTAGCATCCAGTGGGGTCCAGGGGGCAGAGCCCCCGAAAGCTCAGGGTTTAAGCATTTGATTATGGTCAGATGAACATGGTTTTATACTTTATTTGTGACACTGGCAGGACACTGATTGGCGTGAGGTCCAGCGGGCGGATCCCCCAGAAGATCAAGGGTTTTAGGCACTAAATTGCAGTCAGATGAGGATCAAGAGGCCTGCCAAAGGGCCCTTGGTTGGGTCCCGGGGGCAGAGCCCACGGAAGCTCAGGGGTTTTAGGCAGTGGCGGATCCAGGGGGGGGGCCCCCCCCTTGAGAAAAAATCATGTAAAATCACGTGATTTTTACCTTTTTTGGGGGTTGGGCCCCCCCCTCCCTGGTGCTCAAAGGGGGGCGGGGGGGTTTGCAAATTGAAATTTTTTTGAGGATCAAAAAAAAAAATGTGCTCACTACCCCCACCCCCCCCCCCCCCCCCCCCCCCCCCCCCCCCCCCCTGAGCGAAGTTTTGGCCGGCGCGTTTTTCAAATTTTCGGGAGCAAAAAAA